AAGTGTCGATTTAGTTTTTTAGCCTTGAGCACTTTTCATGATCGAAAGACACTAAATGCCTTTCTTAGGAGCCCCTGCCTACTAGTGCCAACTCTCAAGGCGAATTTAAGCGGTACGTGGACTAAAACTTACTAACGAGTACACAAATATTACGTACAGATCACACGTACCAGAAGAACGTCTTATCTGTTTAACCAAAGCGGGATGACAGCACTGTAACTCAGCATCCCAGCACATGTCCCAGCAGTTTTTCCTGACCACTGCTCGTGCGCATACTCTGCTGCGGTTATCTGAATCTCTGTACGCCACAACAGCACACAGAAGCGTGAAAATTTACGTTTACAGACCTCACTACTACGTCAGACAATCATTTAGGTCCCATCGGGTCCCATCTGCGAATGTTCTGGGTATGGTTTTAACCCGTTACCTTAGCAAAGGTTGACCGCAAACACATATCTCTAAACTCGCACATACATCACTTGCGTTTGAAGAGTTCACGTCTAATTTTGGTGCAGTTATTCTGGTGAATCCAAATCGAAGAGCTAAGCTCTGGACTCGAATTTGGCTCTTCTTAGAGCGGTGTGTGTCCATAGCTGTGACAGATTTCGAACCCCGATTGTTAAACCTACGGGGCCAATACGTTACAACGAATCCACCAGCGCACCTGTGTAGTGATGTGATAGGAACTTCCGGTAAAAAGACTTGCGTCTTAAGTATTCACGGCTGAAACTAACAAACTATTTGTACAGAGGTACCAGCTCCGGTCATTATATTTTTGAAGGGCTCTTAAACCGTGCTACAAAATAACAAGTGTTTTTTTGTAGACAGCACAGAGGTCATAGAGGGCGTCGAGGTCACACTGATAGTGATTTATTCCTATTTAGACCATACGTCTATCACGTTTGTTTGTCTAAAGAGTGCAGTCAATAGATCCGGTTTTTTTGCGCAAATCTTTAGAACGGTCTAGAACAAAACCTAATGAATTGTATTGGATCCTGATGGTATGGACTATAGGGCCATGATCGTTGGATCATAATGGTCTGCTAAAAACTTCTACATTCTTTCTTCAGTGTTGCTACAGGCTGAAAATAAATCACTCTGAATTGGAGAAAAGAGCAATTTTTGTGACAAACCAGTTAGTATAAGTAAAAGCTGAAAACAGATAAACACGCAGTCCTGAGTAGAATCCGGGATGTTGGCCAAACGTGCTACTTTGATTGTTCGTCGGCACCCAGAGTAATGCAGACAGTTTTTCGTGGTGTCTAAAGAGAAGGACAAGGCGCAATAGAGAAGAAAGAGAGAATAAAAAAGCAGGCGGAGAAAGTTTTATAAACGTTCAGCAGTCTGAAAAAACTGATTTGGTATCGCGGATCAAAACGATCAATAATATCACGAAGTCCCATTGTGAATGAAGATTAATAAGTAACGAAAACGTGGTCAAAATTAAATACTCTAATTGTTTTAGTTGAGTACCCTCAAGTCACACCTTTTCTAAGTTAACTGAAGCTCACATTCGTTGGTAACATCTGGCAATCTGATCTTTACACCAAACGTATTTTGTGGAACACGTGGTAATTTCTGTTGAACAGTATCGAAATTACTCATATCGCCGTAAGTTGATAAGAAGCCTAGAGGCAGAATAATTTTGCAAGGAGAGTGAAACTTCCAGCTGTGTACTCGTCACTCGAGGAACCAGTTAGTGCGTGACCACGTGATTTGGTTTCAGTTGTTGAAGGAGCAGTGGCGCCTATCTAATTGAGGACTAATCACACTGCTGATCAGCCGCTCGTGGCCAAACGGTCAAGTGCTCGAAATACTAACCAGTTCAAAACACCGAGTCACCTGAAACAGTGGCTCTCGGCTTTTCAGAATAGGGTGGCATCGCTGACACGATGAAGTCTCCGCTGAATATATGGTAATATTCATGCCCACTCTCGTTTTGAACAACCGACCTCGTGTACTAGTCTGCGCCAACAACGTCGATGGTCGATAAGGGTCGGAAAAGCTCGATATTATCTACATCTGAGGAGAATTGGTGAAATACATTCATTTGCAGTCTAATTTAGTTTGAACAAAAGACTCAACTAAGTTCCAGATGAATCTCTTACCAATGGTACTTTTCAACTGGAACTTTTCAACAGCTGTTCTATGTTTCGTTTGGGACGATATTTTAGATACCAAAATGTGAAGGTTTGTTCCTGTAAGTGTAACCAATCTATGCTGAAAAGCCGAGAAGCACTGTACAGCTGTTTGATGCCTAGTGGGAATCATCAGCAGTGCGCATCTCACGAAGCTCCGGAAAGTTTCGAGCCCCGGATCTGCCAGCTATTAGTTTGAACACTTAACCGTTCGGTCACGAGCGACTGATCAGCGGTGTGATTAACTCGCACTTAGACAGGATACACCGCCGCTCATCATTTAGTGGTGGCATCCNCNNCNCGCGGTCNCACGTTTTGACTGCCTCCTCGAGCAACGACTTCTCAAATAGAAGTTTCACTCATTGAGTGAAGTTTATGCTTCCACTGAGCTACTTATAGATTGTTGGTAGTGTGAGGAGATTTGGGATTTTTGTGGAGATTTCGTCCTGTAAGTGAGGCTAATCTATGCTGAAAAGCCGAGAAGTACTGTACAGCTGTTTCATCCTTATTGGGTTACGTGCTCAAACTGCTATCCGGGAAGTCGCGGGTTCGAGGCTCTCCGGAGTTTCGTGAGGTGCGCACTGCCGATGAGTCCCACTAGAGATGAAACAGCTGTACAATACCTCTCGGCTTTTCAGCATAGATTGACTACACTTGCAGGACGAAGCCTCGACACACAACAAATCCAAATCTTTTCACACTACCAACATACCAAAGTACATCGTCCAGGCGGAATACATCACTCACGCGATCGAAGCAGACTCAAGAACTTTGATGGGCTGTCGAAGCGCATCCACTAAACTTATGAGTTGCGTGTTCTGTCTAGAGAAACCACTGCTGTATATAAAACATCATACCAAATAAAATGTGAGATTATCTTGGTGCAGCGCATTCTGTTGAATGAATATCACCAAAACCGAGGAATTCAGCTGGGACAAGGTAAGTCTCCCGCTTAAAAACCGAATTTGTGAGGCAATATACATGAATTCCGCTAAATTCTTGGGTCGAAATAATGAATTCTGTTTTGCCTTGGCACGGTGTGCAATCAGAACTGAGGCGACGGATAATATTCAACGAAAAACCATTAGCCAAACAGTCATTTTGCTGGTACAAGCATAAGCCAGCAAACACATTTAACTGTGATTGAAGTACTTCGCTGAATTCACACACTTGCTCGTTTGCACGACTACCTCTCTGTAGATCAGCACCAAGTAGTGCAACCGCTCGGATACGAGCATCCTAGAGGAGGATACCTACAGGAAGCGTTCAAATCCGTCCAACAGACAACATATTTCTTCAATTTCGTTTATCTGAGCAGCCCAATATTCTGTGCATACTATCTATATGTCGAGTTAGGCGTTAGACATAAGCAGACTCCTGGTCCTTCAGAAGACGAATTGCCTACAATTGAACTAACAGACAAGTGCCGGTGAAATTCGCAATTCTAAGAGTTTGGCTGCGAGAGCAACTTTGCTGTCCACATTAATCTTAGAATATACCACAAACTCGTTTCTATGGTAACCTGGGTTTACAAAATAAATTGTCTTCATAGCCTAAAACAGCGCCCCATGTATCTCAAATACATGACTAACGATTTTCGTCCTTCCTAGGCGTCTAAAACTGACGAATTTCGATTGATCTGAATTCCAGCTCACTCAGGATTCTGACGACAGGCCCAGTTGTCCAGGTGATTTACCTGTGGAACTGGTTTTTAATGCTAAGTTATATTTCTTGTACTGAAAACTTAAAACTCTTAAACCCTATGAAGCTGTTTGGGTGCACCTGGCCTTTACAACCTCTGGTTAGGACTCAGTAGTTTGTACCAGAGAGGGATTTGCGGGAAAAAGCCATGTGACTCAAGATAATCAGAGGAAAGTGCAAGCAAACATCACCAACCTGTGCAAGTGGACGTGTCATTAGATCCTCTTGCAATGAGGCGACAATTCTCTTTTCTGTGTGGTTGTTGAAAGGCTTCATGAAGCGCCGTGAGGTAGATTCACTTTCACATATAGTCTTACTCGACGATACGGGATCCAAATGTAACAAACTGGTTGAATCCATCCAATTTCTAATGTTGCTCTCAGAGTGCATGTTTTCCTTACCGCTTTCTGAGTTTAGCGGCGAATAACCAAGTTGTCCTTCCGGAATGTGCCCGCTACCTCTTGTGGGCCACTGAGGTTCCGATAAACCAAAGTGGTGCCGCGGGGCACCAGTTTGTTGCGCGTTTCTATCTTCATTCTGGTTTCTAACAGTGTCATATTTATACTCCAGTTTAATAGATTTGAATTCCAGATCAGCACCTTTGCATTGTGTACTCAAGGCCTCCTCTTCCCGTTTGATTTCCATGTGCTGTGACAATGAATCGCTGACAGACCAGGTATCCGAAACCTCAATTAACGGCAGCTGTTTTTCGTTTTCAAAGCCGCTAGACTCCGTTAATAATGGGTCATTTCCAAACCCGAGTGCAAACTGAGAAGAGGAGAGAAAAGAATGGACCAACTGACCTGATCCTGAGGTCGCTCAGTAAACTTCACAAAAGGACCTTGGTTGCAGCGCTGCAAAAATATCCCTAAAGATTAGTTGCCAAAGGCTGCGGTTTTTGTAAATTTCAAGTTCACATCACTCTCGTTTGAATGGTCCCCCTCCTGTTTTGGTGCAATCAATCTAGTGAATCCACACCAAACTGGGGTAGCACTGGACTCGACTTCCGCTCTTATTGGAACTCGTCAGCAGTGTATATCCTTGGGCATGCCGGAGTCTCAACTCAGGACCTCCAACATACGAGGCGAGCGTGTTTTCAACAACGCACACTGGATGCATCCGAATTATCACACCTGCTCACGTGTTAGCTGTGTGATTGGCTTACCCGATGAGCTTGATGTGACTGGTATATCTGACGCCTCGGCCCAGTAACTGTCCTAGTTGTGCCGATCGATTAACAGGCCTGTCAGCACTTCCCAGTGGGACAGCGCCACTAACGCAGCACATTTGTCTGTTCAGGCACCGCTAATGAGTGAAATTCGAGTTAGGTGTCTCTCCCCCACAGTGTGGGCTCACCAGCAGAGGCAGAATGTTCAAACGGATGACTTGTAGGTGAAACTGTTGGACGAGAGCTTAGCAACGATGTCGAATGTGATAAGCATAATCACTGCTCGGCGTATATTATAATGTCTAATTGGATGACCAGCTTGTTGAAGGAAGCTACGTCCCAGTGATTTCACTGCGCATTCACATATTTTTTTAATTGACAGACCACCAGTGTGTGAAAACACCAAAAGCTCGGGCGCGTTTATTGATTGCTCATCCGGTGACTATTGATCCGTTCACCTAACTTGTCAATTAACTTTCATCAGCGAATGAGGAAACATCATGAGAACGCGGTATCTGGTCGAAAATCAATAACTGACGGACTGTCACGTCGCAAAGGAGATGCAAGGAGTGAAAGACATGTTATTGATCACTTATGCTGAAATCATGCAGTAACACAGTTGAATTACGAATAAAATATGGATGAAAACGCATGAAACTAAACCGAGAACAGCACAACCACCAGAAATCCATTTATCAGTCTTTTGCCGTGACTGGATCTGTCACACACCTTTTTCAGCTACCCTGTTACGAAGAAATCAATCCCAGTAAGATCAACTCCTCGGGTTGCATGAAGTCATTTCGCTTTTAACACTATAAGTACATATTTGAAAGGGATGGGTTGAAAGATTGACCAGCCTGGATGCTTGCCTGCTCTCCTATTGTGATTTTGGTGGAGTTTTAGGGTCTCAGTCGGTTCCGGGCGTTCAGAGTGTTACCAGGGTCGGTAGCGATTTGAATAGATTGATTTGTGATGAGTTGTGATATAGAAACTGTTTCCTGCTGGTCCAGCTGTTCTCTGAGCTTAGAAATATCGTTTCGTAGAAGCTTGTGAAGCTCAGCGATCAATACAAATAAGGAAACTCAAAGAAAATCTCGACCATCA